TCGTCGTCCTAATGCCGAAAGCACGCTCCAGCTAACTAGTTTTACGGCGTCGAGATTTTAAGCTATGTAGGGACTCAGACTCTCGGCCCAATCCTATTTTCCTGCTAGCGCAGTATATTAGCGGCCACCCTTCCGTTATTTTTAAGTCGTATAACCAATGAATAAAACGACGTGATTATTTTATTTTATCGAACAGAGTTGCATAATAACAGGTGTAGCAAAAGTACGAAAAAGTTGTATTATATGCGATCATTGCACCACGATGTTTAATTCTTCGACCTTTTGGGTTCCCGTTCGAATAAATCTCCGGTAAGAGTTTAGGAGTGAGAACCTGGAAAGTTAGACGATTAAACGCTCAGTTCCAATGATCACATCTTATTCTCTCGAAGACATTGGATTCCTTTCAGTAAAAAAAAGAATTGATACAACGTTTTTGGTCGTTAGAAGTTAAAGCGCATCGCACCTAGTGGTCTTTGCAAGTCCAGCAGCGAATAGGCGAAAAATTCGAAATTTAGCTTTGATTTGCTTGAGGAATCGTATAACAATGGGTAGAATGCCTCGAGGCATTCTACTCATTGTTATACGCTAAAAATAAAGATCTATATTTTTAAGTGAATGTGCAAGCGACGGGTTATGAATTTTGTGAATTCTTTCAGAGCTCAGACTTCGAGATAACATTAAGGTGACCTGTCCGAAAGTTATAGGGCTTGATTGGATTTTTATTGCTATCAAGCGAGCCTGGAAGAATCACATAAAATGTCAAAGTTTTTATATTTTATTGTTCTATTTTTTAAAGGAGATGCTTTAGAATTACGGGAGAGTATTATAACCTACAAATGGTTAAAATATGTAAAATATATACTACTATACAAATATAGTAATAAATATAATAAAACAGACCGAATTATCGCACGCCAACATGCTGTACACTCCGCTCTGCCGATGTACACTAAAAAACTGTGACTGTTCTCCTCGGCTTGTCCGCTTCTAAACAGTTACGAAAAAAACGTTTTACTTTCAGTTATTTTCTGTCTTTTGCCGTCAAAAATGCGTATCCTGATCCTTGTGCCCGTTTTGCTGATTTCCTTGCAAGTTAAGGATTTTTTATCCCACCTGCAGTCAGTTATGCCCTCTTTTTTCAAATGAAACTGCGCTAAACTTAAGTTTTTTTCTTTTCAACGTCCTGTTTTTTTCCACCCCTTTTTATAGTTTTAAAGTCATCACCCCTTCGAGTTACACCCTTTTGCTTTGGCACCTCACTCTCCCTAACAACCAACCATGGAGTGTGTTACTGCAATCAGTCCTCCGGTGGAGAGGCTAGAGCCCAGTGGTCCGCAAGCCTTCTCTACCTACTTCAATATCATCCATCGTGCAGCATCTGCCTATCAAAATCCCGGTCTTCCATCATTTCTCCACATCCGGACTCAGCCTAGTCAGTTCACCGTCTCTGGTGCTGCACCGAGCTTGAGGGCTGGTATTCAGCCAACACTACCTCCCCCCACGGTCCGTCCACATTCTGGTCTCGCTCTGTTTTTTTTTCTCTATTTTTAGTTTTGTAAAAGAATAGGAATATGAGTTAAGGTTGCTTACATCAGTGATCGGGAGCAGTGGTTCAGACTTTCTGTACGGCTTGTTGTTTGATAGCATGTGCGTGTCTAAAATGTCAATACATGCGAGCACTAGGAAGTGATTGAGAAGAAGCAGATGGAATCGCTGGGACACGAATTTTATACGCCTGACGTTCCAAAATCCGTTGCGGATTCAGCATCAAAGACAGTAGCGGAAACAGATAGTTAGTATACAGGGACGTGCAGTATTTATAGGCTGCAGTCGCTATGGTACTGCATACTTATGACAATTAATGGCCCTCTCATTATCGACTATAGCCTCTCGCTTCTGCGCCAGTTGCTTGATGGTCAGTGTGCGGTCCGTAACATTGGCCATGGAAGAAGACATGATGATTGCTCGGCCATCTGGTTCCTCGGCGTTGGCGTTAGAGGAAGAGTTGGCCTGTGCGTTTCCCCACCTACTGACTTATTTTGGCAAAATTGAGTTTCGCTACCGACTATAAATTGGACAGGTATTTGCGTTTGTATATAGACTGGGGCCCGTGAAGCATGACTCGAATAACCCGCTACTCACATGATTGTCACACCTATCGCGCGAATTTCGGCCTCATTAGATTTGAATGGTTG